GAAAAGACGCTGAACTGGTTCTTTGCGCTCTTCCTCCCTTCTGTCCTGCGCAGCCCTTGCCAGTTCTGTTGCAGGTTGGGTAAGTCACTGATAATATGTGTATTCATAACAAAAAAAAAAGATCTGTTGTTGTTGTGTGTCGTAGATTTTTCTGATCTGATCATAAATGCTCCAGGAGTACCTTGAATTTCATCGTCTTTCCGACTAATTGTATCAGTGAGCTGTATCTTAATTTAAAGGTAATAAAATTAGTCTGAAAATAGGCTTGTTTCTGATTTCGTACAACCTCATTCGCTGTCGTAAATTGTCAGGGGATCGACCATTATTTTGATATCTTGCGATATCTTGATTGTTAGTAAAATTACAGTGTCGAAAGTAAGGAAGAAAGGCGAACGTAGGAAAGCAGTAAAATTAAAGAAGGAAACCGATATGAAGAAAAAAGCTGGCGAACAGCAACGAATGCTCTCATTTTACCGAGCACAAACCAAAATGGCCGAAGGATTTTTTACGGTTAGCAGCAGTGCTTGGTTTTATAACGCTGTTGCTTAGTTTGGAAGGATGGTGGTATGAAATATTGTTACCGTGTTCAGTTGTTTGTGGGGCAGCCAGTTTGGAAGATTTGAGCTAGTCTAAATAGTCTTCGTGCTGTCGTCGTGCCATCTTTTTTTAAGCAGCATTGCTGCCACTGTCGCGGAAAACACTCAAAAATCGGCCAAGATGAATTCGCCACAAAGAAAATAAACAGCGGCAAGCACCAGGGCAGCCGGTGCGATCATGCGTTTTGCGCAATTCCGTTCACCGAAAAATTGCCTGCTAATGATTTTCACTGCCCCGCCGAAACTTTCACGCGGCCGTAAGTGACTCCTACGCGCGGGAAGCTGAATTTAAAATTACGGGGTTGTATGTGGACAGAAGACATTACCATAAAATTTAGCTTCTGGCTTTTATTGTTCCCGAGATAATTTCCCCGCAAAAATTTTCACGGGGCCGCAGGTGATATCCGACAGCATAAGAACGCTGAATTTGGATATGCGAGGTTGTGGGTGGGTAGGAGGTCATTACTTCAAAATTTTAGCTTCCTGGATTCCATGGTCCCCGAGATAATAATTTACCCGCCAAAAGTTTTGCAG